GCAGGGCGGCTCCTGGGACTGCAGGCGGAAACACCCCCAGGGTTGACTGTTTTGTGGGGGCCCTGCCAGGCCCTTGGCCCCCAGGGTTAAGAGATGAGTTTGGATTTGCTAAGGCTTTTGCCGCGAGGAACAGAGGCCATCGGGGACCCCGGTGTCCGTCCTTAGGAGGGCGGGATGGAGGGTGGGCCTGGACCAGGAGAGGCGGTTGGGGGGCGTCACTCGCTGGAGACGGCTCAGTCGCACTTCTGTCACCAGGGGCCTCCCCCCGTCCTGAGCTTCTGCGCCTACCCGCTGACCCCCCCTTCTGGCCCGGCCAGCCCCCCCCTTGGCTGCCCCCCCCCTCTGGCCCGGCCAGCCCCACCCTTGGCTGCCCAGCTCCTCCGCAGGCCAGGCGGCCGCCTCCTGCTCACCCTCAGGGCAGTTTCCGAGTTTAGGCTGGGACGCCGAGCTGGCACGGGAGCCCCTGCTTCAGCGGGGACGGTCTCCTGGTGGCAGCGGCAGGCGCCAGCCTGAGCAGCCGCCCCCCTCCCCTGCTCCCCCCACCCTGGAGGGAGTTTTGTCTCCCCCCGCCCCATGGCGCTCCCTAGGACGTCTCAAGAGTCCTCCCCACAGACTCCCATCTGCTGTGGGCTCCCATGGACTTGACCTCACCTCGCCCTCCTGGGCTGGGGCTCAGCCCTGCTTGTCCCTGCGCCATGGGGAGGTGAGCTCTGACCTGTGGGAGTCTGGGAAGGGCCCTGAGATGGGGCAGCCCGGCCAGGCCGTCCTGCCCATGCTCGCGGCGGCCTCAGCCTGGGCTCCTCTCGCTCTCTCTGCCTGAGGGACGGTGCGGGGGTCCCCTCCTGGGGGGGGTCCCCTCCCCCATCACCACTAGCCAGAAAAAACAAACCAACCTGCTGGTTCACCCCCCCAAACAGCCACTACAGCTGGGGCTGGGCCAAGCAGATGCCAGCTCCAGGAATTCCATCTGGGTCTCCCGTGCGGGTGCAGGAGCCCAAGCACTTGGGCCATCCTCCACTGCGCTCCCAGGTGCACCTGCAGGGAGCTGGATGGGAAGTGGAGCAGCCGGGACTTGAACTAGCGCCCACAGGGGACACCAGTGTTACACAGGTGGCCTAGCCTGCTGTGCCACATCAGCCCCTGACTTTTTTTTTAATGGTTTATTTTATTTATTTGAAAGACAGAGTTAGAGAGGTAGAGACACGCAGAGAGAGGTGTCTTCCATCCTCTGGTTCATTCCCCAAATGGCCACAGCCGCCGGAGCTGAGCTGATCCGAAGCCAGGAGCCGGGAGCTTCCTCCAGGTCTCCCACGTGGGTGCAGGGGCCCAAGCACTTGGGCATCTTCTACTGCTCTCCCAGGTGCATTAGCAGGGAGCTGGGTCAGAAGTGGAGCAGCTGGGACTTGAACCGGCGCCCGTATGGGATGCTGGGCGCTGCAGGCCAGGGCTTTAACCTGCTGTGCCACAGCGCCGACACCGGCCCCTGACATTTTTTTTTTTTTTTTGACAGGCAGAGTGGACAGTGAGAGAGAGAGACAGAGAGAAAGGTCTTCCTTTGCCGTTGGTTCACCCTCCAATGGCCGCCGCGGCCGGCGCGCTGCGGCCAGCGCACCGCGCTGATCCGATGGCAGGAGCCAGGAGCCAGGTGCTTTTCCTGGTCTCCCATGGGGTGCAGGGCCCAAGCACCTGGGCCATCCTCCACTGCACTCCCTGGCCACAGCAGAGGGCTGGCCTGGAAGAGGGGCAACCGGGACAGAATCCGGCGCCCCGACCGGGACTAGAACCCGGTGTGCCGGCGCCGCTAGGCGGAGGATTAGCCTAGTGAGCCGCGGCGCCGGCCCCCTGACATTTTTTATAAGTAATTCTATTTGAAAAGCTGAGAGAGAGAGGAGAGGAGATCTCCCAGTTGCCAGTTTACGTCCCAGACGCCACAGCAGCAGGCGCTGCGCCAGGCTGAAGCCAGGAGCCGGGGTCTCCGGCCAGGTCCCACGTGGGGGCCGGGCCCCGCTGCCTGGGCTGTTACCTGTGCCTCCCAAGGTGTGCGTTAGCAGGAGGCTGGAGCGTGGAGTCAGGATTAGAACCCAGGCATGCTGACAGGGATGTGGGCGTCCCAAGTGGCGGCTTAGCTGCTAGCCCAAATGCCTGCCTCGGCCTGTGCCTTTGGTGTTGAACTTGGTGTGTGTGCCGGAGCTGGGCTCCTTGGGGCCTGGCAGGCCTGGCAGGGACCTCAGGAGAGGCCCAGACAGTGTCTGGAGGTGGCTGAAGTCCCAGGTACCCTGGCTCCTTGACGGGTGCTCTTCACGGGGAGGTAGGAGGTCCCCTCAGGGGACCAAGGACAGGGGCTTTGGGAAGCGCTGTGGCGGAGCGGGTAAAGCCACTGTCTGTAGCACCCGCATCCTAAATGGACGCCAGTTCGAACCCCGGCTGTTCCACTTCCGACCCAGCTCCCTGCTAATGCACCTGGGAGAGCAGCGGAGGATGGCCCAGGTGCTCGGGCCCCTGCACCCACGTGGGAGACCTGGATGGAGCTCCTGGCTCCTGGCCCGGCCCTGGCTGTTGCAGCCATTTGGGGAGTGAGCCAGTGGATGGAAGACCTCTCTCCCTCCCTCTCAAATAAATAAATAAAATCTCAAAAAAGAAAGGGCCAGCGCCGCGGCTCACTAGGCTAATCCTCCGCCTAGCGGTGCCTGCACACCGGGTTCTGGTCCTGGTCGGGGCGCCGGATTCTGTCCCGGTTGCCCCTCTTCCAGGCCAGCTCTCTGCTGTGGCCCAGGAGTGCAGTGGAGGATGGCCCAAGTGCTTGGGCCCTGCACCCACATGGGAGACCAGGAGAAGCACCTGGCTCCTGGCTTCGGATCAGCGGGGTGCGCTGGCAGCAGCGGCCATTGTGGGGGGGGGGACCAACAGCAAAGGAAGACCTTTCTCTCTGTCTTTCTCTCTCACTGTCTACTCTGCCTGTCAAAAAAAAGAAAAGAAAAGAAAAGAAAAGAAAAGAAGAAAAGCCAGGGCTGGCGCTGTGACGTAGCAGGTAAAGCCGCCGCCTGCAGTGCTGGCACTGGTTCAGGTCCCAGCTCCCGATCCAGCTCTCTGCTGTGGCCTGGGAAAGCAGTGGAAGATGCCCAAGTCCTTGGGCCCCTGCACCCACGGGGGAGACCTGGAGGAAGCTCCTGGCTCCTGGCTTCAGATCAGCGCAGCTCCAGCTGTTGTGGCCAATTAGGGAGTGAACCAGCGGATGGAAGACCTCTCTCTCTGTCTCTACCTCTCTCTGTAACTCTGTCTTTCAAATAAATACAATAAATCTTTTAAAATAACCCACAATTTTCACCATTGGAGAGAAAAATAATTTTAAAAAAGTGACTGATGCCCTGTGACCTTAAAGACCCAGCCTGGCCATGCCGGCCCCCGGTGGGCAGCTCCCAGAGGAGGGCACACAGCCCTCTCGCACGTCGTCCCCGGTGAGCTGCCGGCCGGCCTGGCTGGCGGCAGTGGGAGGAACAGAGGCTTCTCCCGCTCTTCCTCATGCCCCGCCCTCCCAGCCTGACGCCTCCGCCTCCACGTGGACGAGGCTGGCAGGGTGGCCACAGCCCTTCCTCCCCACCCTGGGGCCCCTCGGCTCTGGGTGCATTGCGGTGGGCATTGAGAGGGTGTGTCCCCGTGAAGACCCGCCCCCAGCACCCAGGTCCTGTCCCGTGCCTGGACGGTGACGTGCGCGGCCAGCTGATGGGCCCTGGGGCCTGCAAGGACTCAGGCAGGGCCTGGGGGTGGGCAGGGGACAGCGCTGACCCCCTCGGCCCCGAGGAGGTGAGCACGGGGCAGAGCGCGACTGGGGCTCGGCTGGGCAGCGGCAGGCCGAGGCGGGAGCCAGGGCGGGCTGGCACGGGCCCCAGCTGCCGCGGCGCCTCGCGCTGGGGCTCCTCACTGAGGGCTGGCCGCGGACAGATGGCCGCGGGACGGGGCCAGGCAGAGGCCCAGCGGCTGCAGCTGAAGGGATCGGGCCAGGGAAGCTGCGTCTCCTGGGGGCGACGGCTGCTCTGGGTTTCCCCATTGACCTTCCTGTGCGTGCGTGTGTGCACTACATGCATGTTGATGTGGGTGCACACGCCTGCATGTCGTATGCACACGTGCGTGTATGCTGTGTGTGCACATGCCTGCACAGCTGTGTGCATGTCACTGGTGTGTGCGTGCACTGCATGACACATACATGTGTGTGTGCGCGCAGGCACGCACACATGTGCACATTTCACTGGCATGTGTTCACGCACATGTATGTCAATGTACATACGTGTATGCTGCGTGTGTGCAGACATGCACAACTGTGTACATGTTGCTGGTGTGTGGGCATGCACGTGTACACGTGTGTGTTGTGTGCCTGTGCAGACATGCACAGCTGTGTACCTGTCACTGGTGTGTGTGTGCACCGGGATGCACACCTCTGCCAGGCCCCTGGGAGCAGCAGTGCAGACCCCGGCAGACACAGGGGGCCTGGCTGTGAGCGCCCTGCTGGGTGCCGCCCAGCGCCTGCTGCAGCCACACCTCGGTGGAGCCTGCTCCGTGGCTCCTCATGGGCGGGGCCAGAGAGCCCTGCGTGTTCCTGGCTGATTCGGAGGGACAGGGAATCCCGTCACTGCCCTGGGGGAGTGCCACCGTGGGCCCCGACTGTGAGGCTGGAGGGCAGGCCGGGGCTGTCGAGGCCAGAGCGTGCACCCTGGCTCTGCTCCCTCCCAGCGCTGTGCCGGGGCAGTTTCCTTAAGCCTCGCTTATCCCATCTATGAAGTGGGGCAACACCTGCCTCCCAGGGCTCAGGGAAAGACGGAATGAGATGACGCTTTGAGGCGCCCAGCGTGGTGCCTGGGCCCCGCAGAGGCTGGGAGCTAGCAGCAGCCACCCCACACCCTCAGGCCAGGAGCCCCCAGCACACCCCGCTCTGTCCAGCAGGGAGCCCCCGCACACCCCGCTCCGCCCGCCGGGAGCCCATCCCTGGAGTCCAGGAGGGGAAGGTGGTCATTGGTACTTGGTCTTTACTCAGTTGTCCCAGCAAAGCCCCCGAGCCAGCTCTGCCTGGGAGCCTGACCCTCGGGACACCCAGGCTGGAGGGTGGGAGGGGTCAGGGCTGGACGGGCCTGGAAGGGGGAGGGGAGTTTGCCACGTACAAGGTGGGAGGGGCCCGAGGGGGCGGACCAGGTCACTGGGATCCTGGGTGGGGCTGAGGAGCCGTAGTCCTGTAAGGTCAGCTCCAAGCTGGCAAGGCAGCGGGTGGGGCAGTGAGGGGGAGGGGCTTGCCCCGGGCCCCGCCCCTCTCCTCCCTGCAGCCAGGAGGGGTCAGGGGTTGGGGTGAGTTCGGGCCAGGCAGCCTCCTGCCCGGCAGCCGGCCACTGCCCCTTCCGGGTTGCGGATGACGAGAGGGGGCAGTCGCGGGAGGGGAGCAGGACGCCCGAGACGCCCGAGGGTGGTCCTGGGCCCCTGGAAGCCAAGGCCGCTTTTCCAGGGCAGTGGAGCAGCCTCCCGCTGCGGTCCGTGGCGCCGGGAGGCTAGAGCCGCGTGCATTTCAGGACAGAGGTCCCCGCCGAGCCCGCGGCGCTGGCCGTGGCCTTCTCCGCCGCTCTGTTGGGGAAGACAGGGGCGGGTGTGTCTGGGGGTGCAGAGCGACCCCTGGCCTGTGCCTGTCCTAAGCACCTGGGGTACGACCCTGGCTCCCCGCCTGGGGATTTTGGTGGAGAGGCCCGGGACCGCCAGCGACAGCCATCACAGCCTGGGGGCTGCCCCCTCACAGCCCCCTGGGCCCGTCTGCAGGTGGACCTGGGGCGAGCTGGGCCTCCCCTCTCCCGCTCCACCACCAGTGCTGTGCCCGTGTCGGGGCGTCTGCTCCCCCGACATGGGCTGCGTGGCCGGGCCGCCCTGTCCTGGGAGTGCCCGGCGGGCGCGGTGGTCGAAGCTGTACTCACCGGCCCTGCAGGTCCTGCACGGTGTCGGGCAGCGGCAGGCCCCGCGTCTCGGGCAGCAGCAGCGCCGTCAGGCCGCTCAGCACAGGCACGGTCCCGTACACCAGCAGGGGCAGCGAGGGGCCGTGGGCGCCCAGGAGCCGCACCAGGGGCCCCAGGATGGCTCCTCCGCGGGCTGCCATCTGGCCCAAGCCCACGGCCGTCATCCTGACGGGGCGAATGCACCTGTGAGGGTCACTGCGCCGCCCACGGCCTTGACCCCCACCCCCACCTAGCCCAGAGCCCACGGGGAAGGGAGGTGGCCTGCCCCCCCCCCCGTGGGCCTGCCTCACCTGAGCACCGTCGGAAAGAGCTCGCCACCATAGATGCTGATGCAGGTGAAGGCGGCCCCCAAGGACCCCAGCCCCGCCACGGCCAGCACTGAGCGCACGGCCCCCATCTCTGTGGGGAGACGGGTCAGCAGGGCTGGTGTCGGGCCCGTGGCTAGGGACCCCCAGAGCGGGCCGGGGTGTCCCCCTCCGCCTCGCCGCCCACGGCCCAGTGCTGTGCTGCCCGCTGCTCCCCGGAGCTCCCGCGGGCCCAGCAGCTACTCCCTAACGGGGCCCCTGCCCCTGCCCCCCCCAGCAGCCTGGAAGCGCTGCCCGGAGGCCTGGCCCTGGCGCCCGCCCGCTCACCATGGGGCACCAGCGTGTTGGCCAGGACGCAGAGGCCGGGCAGCACGAGGGAGGCGGCCTGCGAGGGCCGGCGGCCCAGGCGGCTCAGCAGCAGCAGGACGCCGGCCTTGGCCGGCACGTCCACCACGCCGATGAGCACCTGCAGCAGGAAGACGTCGCTGCCCAGAGCCTGCAGGTCCAGCGCCAGCCCGTAGAAGGTGAAGCCGAAGGCAAACCTGGGGGCAGACGGCGTCAGTGGGGAGGGAGGGGCGCTCTTCCCCCGGGGGCTGGGGGGCGGGGAGGGCCCGGCGGACGGTGGCTCCCAGGCCCGCTGGCCAAGGTGGCCCTCCCACCCTTGCCCCTCCTGCAGGCTGCCCACCCACCCAGCACGAAGCCCGGGATTCCTTCTGCCGGCCTGGGGGGGTTCCCCGTCCCCTGTCCCCCATCCCCGTCCCCCATCTCCCATCCCCCGTCCCCTGTCCCCTGTCCCCCATCCCCTATCCCCATCCCCTGTCCCCCGTCCCCCATCCCCTGTCCTCCATCCCCTGTCCCTGTCCCCCATCCCCTGTCCCCTGTCCCCTGTGCCCCATCCCCTGCCCCCATCCCCCGTCCCCTGTCCCCTATCCCCCATCCCCTGTCCCCCGTCCCCTGTCCCCCATCCCCTGTCCCCTGTCCCCCCGTCCCCTGTCCCCTGTCCCCGTCCCCTGTCCCCGGCCCCTGTCCCCTATCCCCTGTCCCCCGTCCCCCGTCCCCTGTCCCCCATCCCCTGTCCCCCATCCCCCGTCCCCTGTCCCCCATCCCCTGTCCCCCATCCCCCGTCCCCTGTCCCCTGTCCCCCATCCCCCGTCCCCTGTCCCCCGTCCCCTGTCCCCCATCCTCTGTCCCCTGTCCCCTATCCCCTGTCCCCCATCCCCTGTCCCCCATCCCCCGTCCCCTGTCCCCTGTCCCCCATCCCCCGTCCCCTGTCCCCCGTCCCCTGTCCCCCATCCCCTGTCCCCTGTCGGAAGCCTGACAGATCCAGGGGAGGTGGGCCTCGTGCTGGGGGCACTCTCAGTGGGTCCCAGGCCACAGGCCAACCAGGGCGCCGCCTGGGCAGAGGGGGGGGTGGGCGGGGCGGGGGCGGGGCGTCACCAGCACAGCATGGAGATGCAAGTCCGCAGGCGCAGTCCGGGCGTGCGGAGCAGCGTGCTGAGCCGGGCCGGAGCTGGGTCCCCGCTCAGCTCCTCCCGCGTGGCTGACAGCAAGACCTGCGGGGCGGGCGGGGGCGCTGTTGGCCCGGGAGCCCGGGGCAGGCCCTCCTCCCCAGACCCTCCGGTGGCGGGGACAGAGTCTGGGGGCGCCCGGCCCTGCCTCACCTCCATGGTCAGTGCGCCCCCTGCTGCCGTCTTCCCGTTGATGGCGGCCACCCTCCGCAGCTCCCGCAGGCCACGGTCCAGCCTGCCCGTGGTGAGGAGCCATCTGGCCGACTCCGGGAGCCACCTGGAGTGAGGGCGCTGTGGGAGGGGCCTGCCTGCACCTCCTCAATGCCCCTGTCCCGTCCACCAGGGGGCCCGCCCGGCTTGGGAAAGCCAAGGCCAGTGGGCATGGGGGGTCATCCCGCCGCCCCTTCCGCAGCTGGCAGCCCCTCTGCCCTCGTCCTCCTGGAGATGTGGTGGGGTGGCCCTGGGCTCTCACGTTCCTGGGCTGGCAGCTGGGGTGGGGGAAGGGAGGAGCAGGTATTGCAGAGACCACAAAGAGGACAGTGGCCGGGCCAGCACGGGGCCAGCAGGAGAGACGGCCCCCGGGCAGAGCAGAGCCCCGGCCCCCATCTCTGTGGGAAGACGGGTCACTGCCCCAGAGTGCTGGACCGCTGAGGGCCAGCAGGATAGGCGGCCCCCGGGCAGAGCAGAGCGAGCTGCTGGACCCCTGAGCCGCCGGGGTGGGCTGGGCGCTCTGGCCCCCAGCGCCCCCAGGGAAGGGAGCGTCTGCCCGGCCACCCTGCGTGGGGGGGGGGGTCTCCGCCTTTGCGGGGGGCGGGGCGCAGCACCCACCAGGAGTACGCGAAGCAGAAGAAGAAGGGCACGGACACGGCCAGCTGCAGCAGCGACCAGCGGCGCACGCCGTAGGCCACGGCGCCCGTCAGCACCTGGCCGACGCTGAAGCCCAGGGAGTTGAGGGTCATCAAGAGGGGCCGGGCCTTGGTCGACGTCCACTCCATCACTGCGGGGGGTGGGGGAGACAGAGGGCTGAGCACGGGGCGCGGGGCATGGGGGCGGGGCGCGGGACTCCGGGCTTGGGGGCGGGGGCGGGGCAAGGAGCATGGGGGAGGGGCTTGGGTCCTGAGGCCTGGGGGCGGGGCGCGGGGGCGGGGCGCGGGCGTGGGGACCCACGGAGGGTGCCTGTGTTCATCATGATGCCAGCCACGGAGAAGGCGGCCAGGAACCGGAACAGGCAGTACAGGGGGAAGCTGGGCGCGAAGGCAGCGGCCGAGCCCGACACGGCCATCTGCAGGTAGCTCCACGTCAGCACCAGCCGGCGCCCGAACCTGCGGCACACACGCACACGCACCCGCGGGAGGCCCGGGGCCACCGTGGCAGCCCACGGCCACCCCGCACTCGGCCCTGAGCCGGGCGGGGGGCCGGGGAGGCCCCAAGCGAGGCGAGGGCGGGCAGGCTGCGGAAGGGGCTGAGAGGGGCTGCGCGCTCCAGAGGGCGGTGGGCGCAGCAGCGGGAAGCCACACCCCTTAGCTGGGCGCCTGTCCTGCTCCGCGGCCGGCCCGGCTCCCCGCCGACGCGCACCCGGGGAGGCGGTGGGTGATGGCTCAGGGACCTGGGTCTCTGCCGCCCACGTGGGAGACCTGGATTGAATCCCCAGCTCCTGGCTTTAGCCCGGCCCAGCCCCAGCCCTTGCAGGCATCTGGGGAATGGGCCAGGGGAGGGCGGGTGTCTGCCTGTCTGTCTGTCTCTGCCTTTCAAATAGACAAAAATACATCAAGGAAAATAAAAAACAAAAAAGGGGTCCGGGACACGGCCCCGCCCACCGTTCCCACCCCCGGCCCCGCCCAGCAGGGCCATCCCCTAGGAGTGCGTGGGACCTCCTGCCCGGGGCGGGGTGGGGCACGCACCTGTCCGAGGTGTGGCCGCACACGGCAGCTCCCACCAGGATCCCAGCGAGGTAGATGGACTGGGCCATGGGCTTCAGGTCCCGGGAGTCGCACACCAGGTTCCACTGTTGGGAGAGGTGGGGGCAGCCGAGCTCAGGGAGCCGGGAGAGCCCGGCGGGAGGGGCCGAGGCGCAGCCACCAGGTGTGGGCGGGGGCTTGGCCACCTCCAGGGCCATGGGCAGGGCCCTGTGCACAGTGAGGGCAGCCCCCGGTGTGGCTCGGCCTTGGGAGAATCCTCTGTCCCCTGGCCTAAGCCCCTCAGGGCCCCCTATTGCCCAATGGGCCAAGGGTCAGTTCCTTGGGGGCCCACCAGCCCCCCACACTAACCAATCCAGCCCAGTGGCACCCTCCCCCAAAGGTGGCTTCCCTCCCCCTTCCAGGGAGGCAGGTGGGCTTCAGCCGGGGAGCCCCGGGGTGGGGTCGCGGAGCACCAAGCCGGGTGGGACTGGCTGGAGCTGGCACAGGCAGCCGCGGGGTCAGGAGCTGCCAGCGCTCCTGCGAACCTGGAAGCCATCACCGGAGAGGACCGTGTGGCTGGCGAGGGG